TCTAGAAAAATTGGTATGGTTCTCACACACATAAAGGGAAGAATTATTGTGAATTGGCTGGCAATAAAGAAAAAGAAAGAGAGGATCCCGTCGAAAACGCTAAATTTAAGGGTGTGCTCACGTTTGCTCTGGGACAGGGAGGAATTGAGGACGAAGGAGAGAGGAGAGCTGAGAGAGAGCCTAACGGAGGAGAGAGCGGAGACATCAAAGTTCTGTGGACGGAAAAATAAGCGGTCGAAGCGGTCTTCGAAAAGTCCTACCGCCGTTTTCGCGAGTTTCCGTGTCGGGAGAAGGGGACTTCTGCGACATTCGTGAACAGTTCTACCCTACCCACCAAGAGGACCCATCCGCTTGAGCTAATATTGGGTCACTTCAAAGGAAAAGTTTAGGTAGCGAGCCACCGAATTTTGTTTTGGTGGTTTTGAAGGCAATTTCTTTGCAGGCCGGCTATAAACGGGAACACCCGAAAAGCCCGATTCCAGTTTTGCTCAACGACGTCGTGTTTGCAGTACATGCTTTTATGGCCTGTATTGTTACTGCTGTGCAATGCTTTATATATGAGGTATGCTTTCTGAATAGTTATTTCATTTTTCCAATGTTGTTGTTACTAAAAATAAGCTTTTAGCGCGACAATCAACGGATTTCAAAGATATGCATGGTGCTGGCTTCACTGCTGATTCTCTTCGCCGCATGTTCAGGATTAGCAAGCCTATTCAGTCTCATCAACATTCTTCAATTCGTCGCTTGTTTCTCGTATATAAAAATGGTTGTCACTCTGTCCAAGTACTTCCCGCAGGTACGCTATTCATCTTAATAGTTCCAAAGGTTACTCAGAAAGTAACCCATGCAAGATCAAATCCTGCAGTGCACCACCCGAATGCCCATGCACACCCCGCCCTAGTGGTTTTGGTAGAGGAGCGAAAATATGTCGTTATTACGGTAGATGATAAGATAATATTGGCGTGATTGGCATTCCGCCTCCTTTGCCAATCACGCCTCCAAATGGGGACACCTACAAGTAGATGATTAGCGAAGTGGTGAACAGTACATGCCATCTCTTGACACTCATGTCCTTAGGGAGACATTCAAAACAGGGCATTCAAAAACCGCTGGTAGGTGACACTAGTACTAAGCCCAGGATTGGGAATGAACACCAGGGAGAACAATGGTTGCTCACATACCTTTCCACAGTCCTTCCCCCTCCCTAAGGCCTAGTCTAGGAGTGGCCCACTCACTCAGCGTCCCCTAACCAGGAAGGTCTTTCAGGGCGTGCCAAGCTTTTTGAAAACGGTCTTTTGCATGATATAGGGGCACATGCGGGAACCACAGAACCATGGTTAATTTTTCCTGAACGGCCCTCTGAATACCAGAAAAGGGGTCCCTAGTTCGATTCCTCGTGGTGACAAATTTTTGCATTTCGAGTTGACGTTCCAAAATTCGCGCAAAATGGAGTTAGCGTAACGTATAACTTCGTATAATGTATGCTATACGAAGTTTGCGGGGAATTTTGGAACGTCACTCGAATGCAAATTTGTCACACGAGGAATCGACTAGGGACCCCTTTTTCTGGTATTCAGGAAAAATAACCATGGTTCTGTGGTTTCCGCATGTGCCCCTATATCATGCAAAAGACCGTTTTCAAAAAGCTTGGCACGCCCTGAAAGACCTTCCTGGTAAGGGCATGAGCGCCATCTCTTTCGTCTCTGCGCTCTCGTCCTTTTGCCAGTTGTCGCTCAGGTGACGAATTTCTTCAATACTCGACCAGTACCCTGGATCAATTGCCGGGGGACTATTCGGTACGCGTTCAAAAAATTCAACTTTTGCCACTTGTGTCATTGTGGGGTCATTCATGTGGCCCTCAGTGCTTATAGAAACTCACCACCCAAGTTCAGTTATCATGACTACAGTGAAGCCACCGCAAAGTATCCCTCTATTGGCCAGCAGACGAAAGAACAAGGCTTTTTGCGGACGTTCCCTGATTCAATTCATGTGAACATCTCATAAAATAAGAAAAATTGTTTGTTTTTGAGGTAATAAAAATATTTTCTCAACATCACTTTGAATTTAGACGTACTTCAACTTCAAACGAAAAAGCACAGTTGGCTGGTCCATTGGCAACGTACTTCTGGACTTCACTGGCGGCTCACTAGACATTCTACAGATGGTGCTACAGTGCGTCAACGCTGACAACTGGGTTGCTTTCTACGGAAATCCCGTCAAATTTGGACTGGGACTAGTGTCGATATTCTTCGATATTATTTTCATGATACAACACTATGTGTTGTATAGAGGTGTGAAAGTAGTTCACGCCCAATATGAGGGCATCGAGAATCCTGTGGCACCTCAAAGCCCAGAATCAACGCCATCAGATCACGGAAGTATCAATCAATCACAAGCTCCGATATTACGCGACGTGCAATTTTGAAATAGAAACGTGATAATTTGTACGGTTCGCATGTTGATAAGTTGTAAATAAACGGTTTACTGCTTTATATTGTGCGACGTGCAATCGAGAAAATGTATTTATTGAGGACTTGCCGATATGTACCGTACTGCAGAAACAGAGTAATAGGGTTATCTTCGCAATTCAGTTTTCTCCAAAATCGCTTCTCTGAATAATGATAGGCACGTAGACAGGGTGACGGTATCCTGGAACACATACGCGTTCACATGAGATAGTGCTGAATTGGAAGAAACTGGCCTACCTCATCCGCTTTTGACCACGCCAGGGCTGGAACCTGTCGTATGGATCGTCCGCTTAGACCTAAAGCCAGTGTGGCCAATTCCATGAGTTCTCGCCCTGGTGAGCATTCTGACTCAACAGTTTTAAGCTCTCTGATGGAGGGTAGCTGTTGATCAGAAACAACAAGGCCTATCTGGAAATGATCGCTGAAAAAGATGACAGACGAAGGAGGGAAGAAAAGCGAAAAGGTTACCCTTATGAGTTCGCCAACACATTTAGCGAGAATTGAGTATAGCGCGTTTGCTGACGGTTGTCCCACATGTCGGACGACATCGGCGCGATCCAGTAGTGCACGATCAAGACACCCCTCCATATTGGAGGTGCAGAGAACAATCACATTTGTTCTCCTGAAACAAACAATGCTATAGAGTGAACTGAGAGAATAATGGTAGGGCAGATTACCGCCTGATCCTGTCGATCTGAGTGAGCAAAGCGTTCACGGCACGAATAGAATCAGCCGGATCACCACGGCTAGTAGATGCATCACGAGACATTCCAAGAGATTCAATCTAAACGAAGATTGGATTGAAAAATGGTCGTCGAATAAGGATCCCATGAGCTGTAATTTACCTCATCAATGAGTACAAACACCATGCATCTGTCATCCTCTGCTAATTCATCGATTTGGTCGAACATTTTTAACACGAGTTTTTACCACTCTTTAACATTTCTGATACTATCGCGAGAAAAATAGGGATGACAGATTAGAAGTCGGAACAAGTAGCGATCATAATAAGTTGACCACCCCTCGAAAGGACATATACGCAAAAGCTTGAGGCACATTAGCGCTGTGCTGGGAACAAATTCCAATTAAGTAAGGATTATGGGGAGTTATAGAGGGCTTCAAAAGCGATTAGGCCTTCGATTGCTGGTGCCTTCACACAGGGCCCATTGACCCAGATACTTGCGGAATATTAAGTCGAGCGCGTTCTTTGCTCTGCAGTACCTTGCACTTCTAATGCGCCAAACTTCGCCTGCCAGAGTTATAAAAAGACTACCAAGTTGTAATAGATGGCTTTGAAGCCAAGCTTTTCTGTGATTTACCGGTTCAAGTCCGAGAAGATTCAGCACTTAGGCGTCACGGTTCGACTCTCAATGAATCTCGGCATTTCTCTTCAGTATATGATGGTAGAATAAGTCAGCTTGTGACCGAGATTGTTAAAACCACTTTATTCGGCTGACGTTTCGGCGTTATCGCCTTCTTCGGAGCCTGGAAGGACAAAAGACATTTGAGAAGCTACCCGTTCAAACACTATTTCAATCTACAGAAGTCACTCAACAGGATCGTAGCCTACTGAGGCAATGCCATAGAACCTTGAAGACTAACCTTTAGGAACGTCGACCTGGGTGGTCCACCTGTAACCCCGAGCTGGTAGAATGCAGCTTAAATAGGGGAGCCCCGAGGACAACTTGCTTGAGGGACCTCCCGAGGGTTGATCACGTAGATCAAGCTCCTCAAGAGGCCAATAGAGGCCGAGCGCGCCGCTGACACCTTGCAACCTACCTCCTATCGATTACTGTAAGAGCCCCCCGACCCCGCCGGAAGGGTCCGGGCGGGGGGTCGATCGTAGGTCAAAAGCACAGAGTCCGCCGAGCTTTGATTAGCACTAGATTTCGATTGAACCTTACCTTGCTGCAACTTTAGTGGTTCGTTTTTTGAGTGAGCTATTCAAAATGATTATGTATGAATGAGAGGAAATCTTATTCTACACATGTAGATAAATCACATGTACCTCAGAGAACCACTTAGAAAACAAACTATGGCTGTTGATTTCCACCATAACAGAACTAGAATATCGAGAGTTCAGTCGAATGGACAGGTGCTGCGCTACTCCACGGCAAAGTGACGTCTTCCCAGTACCAGGCGGACCTTAATTTTGAAGCATAAAGCTGCTGTAGAAAGAAGTGAAGTCTACAAATATGCAAACCGAGCAGAATGATGAGACGATTAACATTGATCACTTTCATGTCGGCACCGTTATCAGATAGCTGTATTAGAGCATGTACATAGGACATGAGCTGAAACGTTTTACAAAAATAGTTTGACCATTGAGAACTTTACGGTAGTGAGGGAAATGGAATACCTCGTTCTTCAAGTCAGAGTCGTAGACCAAATTTTCCCATAAATTTTCAAATTCACTGCACGGTAATTGCCAAAGAAGTGATCCAACTGCATTGTCATCCGAATTTTCGTCAACTGAAATCATGGTATTCCCATTTAGTCAAACAAAATAGCTTTCAATATCAGACAGTCAGCGTTCAATCGCATTTTAAGACATATTCCATGATAAGCAAAAATCAGGTGTATTTCAAAAATGACACTGTAGGCACGATTTGGAAAAAGAAAAGAAAATTCCGAAAACATCACCAATAGTTCTTCACGTGGCAGATGATTTCTAGGGTTTATAGTCAAACCAGTTTAGCTCCGCACGCAACCGCGCGCATCACATGGTGGGCTTTTCACGTGGCTGATAAACTAACAGTAAGATGTTTCGGAAGATGTGTCATATAGTCAAATGTACGAAGAGAGAGGCTGTCGAGAAGAGTAGAAACAATGAAGAGACCAGTGAGAGCAGAAAGAAACGAACTACTATCAAACCCTTGGTGGATTATCAAGGAAAAGCGAGGCTGTTAGGGTTTGGAACTTTGTGGAGATCTTCCTAAGCCACCCTCAGGTCCAATGATGCCACATACCCCCCTTGGCACCTGATTGTGAGCACACTTCCAGTAGCACTGCTTTAAAAGTTTATTAATATGTGTGCCTTCAGACGTGAAAGAGCTTGTAGAAGAGAGTGAATAAATTAAAACTGAATGCTTTCTGAAGAATAAGAAGAAAACTTGAAAGCTTTCATGGGAACTGCTTGAAACAAGTGTCAGTCTTTCAGTAAGAACTTGGCTAGGGCAAAGGTCATCATCAGGAAGAATCTGGCGTGTTTCACACTGAATGTCCAAATATTTTAAATGAAGAATGGCCGAATAAAATTCGCAAAATCAAAAAAAAAGAAATGAAAAGAATAAGAAAACATGAAAAAAAGAAATGAAATGT